TGAGTGCCTCAAAAACAACTTCTTCTTTAGCTGGTGCCTTTTTGTTCCTTCTTCGCAACCACCAGGACGGTGTATCGGAGGTGGACGAGGACAGCGCTTCGAAGCCGCCGATCAATGGTTTCTGTGGCGCTTGCGCATGGCCCTGCACTGATACCACAGATGTTTGACAGAATGGGTCGTTTCCTTCACAAAATGGGAAGCTCTGTGGGCAATCAGAGAAGAATTGCTTATATGACATTGTTCCTCGGAACATTTCAGACTCTGTGCCGCATTGTCATGTGAGACCAAGATCCGCAAGTTGTTCTAATGTGTGGAAACTTGCCAGTTTGATTCAGTCGAATTTGGTATAAGAACTAAGAACGTCATGAAACATTTGAAAACAAATCAGTACCACCAATACAGGCGACTGACCAAGTTCCTCTTCCAAGCATGATAGCTCGCATTCCGAAAGGACTTGAGTTCAAGTCAGAAGGTGGTGACTCTCTCCCATTGGTTTCGGAATGTTTTTGTCAATTTGACTTGTGGGTTCACTGATAGCGCCGTTGAAACTATTTGGGATCAATCCAGAATCCACAATATGCTCAGTGGTCCACCACCTGCTCAGCATTCCGGTCGGACGGTTCCGTCCGGCATGGGTGAGAGTACCACTGGGTGCAGCGTTTGGCGTTCGCCAATGCCAAGGGGTTGTCGTTTGTGACGTTTTTCTCAGGTTTCATCTATGTCAGGAATTCTTGGATGATGAACACCAGTTTTGGATGCGTTTGGTGATGAGGTGTGTGCTTTATCCAGTTGACTGTGGACGAGGGGGCCGTTGAAGTGTTACAATCCTTGCTAGAACGCTGAGCCAATGTTAGTAGATTTTGTTTTCAATTGCGTTCACATGCATGTATTCTCTGAAACACACTAGACCCAACTCTTCGGCAAGCTGCAAATTTTTAATCCCATCCAAAATCTCATAGTACATGCAGCAACGCATTCCTAAATCATTCGAACACCCTTTGACATGTTCAGCTCCTGTGTCCGTTGCTCCCAGGGTCATGTAGACTCTTGACCTTTCAAACCGCCAGTTGAAAGTCAAGAGTCGGAATTCACGCCATGTCCCCATGTGTCAATTCTTGCTCCCAGAATTAAACATCTACGTTACTTCGAGTGATCCCCATCATGACATTTCAATTATTGATCTAACAACCCTCACCTCACAGGTGGGGAATAAAGCCCATTCTTTGCTCTCTTTCAGGAGGCGTTTTCCGCCGAGATCGGCGAGTTCTTCCCCCGCGGCCCCGAGACGGAGAACGTGCCGCCGCAGAAGGTGGTCGCCGGGGCCACTGGGAGCTGCAATTCGGGCACCGGCACTGGGGAGTAGCACGGAGCAGTCAGAGATGGATGGATTGGAATCAGAATTAAACATCTAAGAAATTGACGGGAGAATGAAGATGAGGTAAAAAGATGAGGGATTGCTGGATAGAGACACTGTGAAACAGTGGTGACACCAGAATCTGGTCCCACAAGAAGAAACCATATAGACTGTTAAAGTTAAAGTCAATCGCGGACAGGTTCAAGTTTGCAAGTACGTCTGACTCACAGGGGCAACAATTTATTGACACCCATCAGGCAAAGTTTCTCAAGATCATGAAATATGAGTTTTATTGTGTCGTGTTTTTTTTTTCACACTGTTTCATTTGATATTTGTTTTCAGTGGCCAAAGACCTCCATTCTAAATAATAGTTTGTGGATAGGGTGAGCACCCGTGAGCACCTTCAACGCTTTAAACAGTTTTAACATGTTTCTCTTAAAACCCCTTTGTTTCGGCCCAGTGATCTTGAAACATCTTTAAATCACCTAAAAAGTTGATCAGTCTTTGACCCGGTCTTCCATTTCTGCGATCGTCTCAGCGAGGTCTCCTTTGCTTTGACGGTTCAGGGGGATCGTCTCAGCATGAAGGCGGTCCAAGTCGTGACGTGTGCGACCGTGACAGGTGGGTTGTGGCGCACGACCGGTGTTGTCTGCGGGTGGAGTGACGCGACCGTTCACACAGTTCGGTGGTGGTTTGACCAAAGCGAGGACGGACGTGAACAGCTCGAAGACGCCTCTGGGTCAAGACGACCCACATCGAACCCCTCAGGGTATCTGGACAAGTATTGGGTGGTTGTTCTAGCCTGAGAAGATGGTTGGGGTGGGTGCCAGGGGGGTCCCACCACCTTCCGAGGAATTGGTTGGAGCATGTTGGAGCCAAAAATGGATGGCGCTTGTTCATTAGGACCAATGGTTCCAACGGATCAATGAATCCTCCATCACAATCACCCCCACCTCTGGCAATTGGTGTCTGCTAGCATCCGGAACAGGACATGTACCTCTTCAAGAGGTAGCTATACCCCGAGGTAGTGTTTGCTAGCATCGATTTTTTGGAAGTCCTCCCACTCCTCCCCACTCCTCCTCTCCCACTCGGAGGACCGCATCTTGGTGCCCGAGAGCAGCACCTCCTGTGGCGACGTGGCCACTGCGCATGCGTTGGCCTTCCGAAGTCACGTGTGTGAGCGTGGCGAAGGCAGCTGCATCAGCACACCAGCCAATGGCCCACCCACCAGTTACCAGACGCTTGGGAGTGAACACTGGGAAGTTCGGAGAAAAACCTATGGAGAAAAGGCCACCGCATTTGCTCGGAATGCTTTCAGAATGGCAAACAAGTTTTCTGGCAGAATGTGTTCAGAATTACAAACTGTTAAACAGTGATGCTTTTTAAGGGTTTGCCGCTTGCCTTGAAGCGATCTGAAGTCTCTTGATGTGTTTTGTTGATCTCTTTTTCACCAGCAGGCTGAAAGGTCTTTTTAAATCAGTCAGGAATCCAGGAATGTGGCAGAGGGACTTTTCATTGGATGTTTTGGCAAAGGCTGTTTTCTCTCATGACTCTTCTGTGCCAGCCTGCTTTCAAAGACTTGAAAAAGGAAGGGAATAAAAAAGGACATTCAGAAGCAAAGAAGATATTTCTCTCCGAGGCTCCAAGTTGAACATGGTTTGCTGAACATAACTCGGGGTGTCGCATTGCGATGGTCTCACTGTTGTCGAAACAGGTGGGTGCCTCGAGTCGCCAGTGTCGGACTCCGGCAAGCCGAGGGAACAAAGGCTGTAATGTAAGAAAACTGATTGCCTTTTGATGTATTTAGTAGTTATTTGTTTGTGTTTGTTAGTTTTCCCCATTCTGTTTGGACTTATAGACATGCTGCTAGTTGCACGCGGAAAGCCAGATTACTGTATAGATCATTATATTGAATGATCTCTTTATAAGAACATAATAGGGATTGTATCAATGGATGCACAGGATAATTGGGAGCATTGGGTACGCTCGCTCAGCAAGAGTTCCGTATACGATCCTCAAAGACCTCGTTCGGGATAGACGATCCCGATCCCCCCCAAACCATCGAAGGGCGACACAAACGGTGATCTGCTGAAGACCTGAGGAATCTGGGGGACTTGGTTGGAGAGGCTGGAATCAGCTTCGTTCAGGAAGTGACCCGACTGATTTAGTGGAGACGGCTGAAAGACCTGGGTCTCACGTGAAGGAAGTGAGCAGTGAGCTGCTTGAAGATCGTTTGAGATCTGGAATAGCATTAACATCTGGCTGAGTCAACCAGGATGGCAAGACGCACTTGTAGGCGTAACAAATTAAAGATTAGACCGGGGGTGCTATCCCGGTCCAAAGACTTGTTAGATTTGGATGCAGTTTTGCATAAGATGTACACCTTTCAAGTTTGAAACCAACAAACATAACAAACACAGATTTGTGCAGGTCTCTGCGCCTTGCGAAGTCAGGTGTCCATGATTTACAAAACACCACCATGTGTTGTCACAACTGTTTTTCCTGCATGGTTTGTGCATTTTATCATAGTTTTCCCTCAACATATCCACCACTTGCCCATATGCGCTCTTCAGTATCGACGAACTCAAATCAGATGTTCAACATGTTAGAACGAGTGACAATCTGGGACAACATTCAAATCGGACAATCAGGGGATTTTCCATGCAGATGTCACTTCCTTTCCCCTGGTGATTTCTCCGCCACCGCTTGTAGCGAACGCTTGTTTCGGAGAAAGCCGACTCACGCCGGCTCGCGGGCCGTCTCGGTTTTCAGGCCTGGTCGCCCATACAGATTGACACCCCTGGCAGCTATCGGATTTGTTGGTGTGTGGATGACTCCTGGGATCCTATCAAGCCACTTGGGCGGTGTTGTCAACGCAACGATGGGACGACGCTTACGGGTTTCGCGGAGGAGGTGAGCTGACAGCTGCGCTGTTGTGTGTTGTGGGTCGGACGGGTTTCGCGGAGGATGCGGAGGGTTTCGAGGCCGGGGGAAGAGACGGAGGAAGTTCTATAAGCAGCTGTTGGTACGCAGCTGTAGCTTTGGGACTCTACATCGGTTCATATGTTGAAACAATCATGGAGGTGGAAAAACAGCAGTTTGTAAAGGAAAACCGTCTTCCACGATGCCATGTTTCACGTAACCATGTGGCGCCACCAAGAGATAAACTGAGGGAACTTTTGATGGAACTACACAAGAAAACATAGACAAACCATGGAAAACGCATGGAATTCTCCACATCTTGCCAGCTACGATTCTCCACCTTCTTCTTTTGACGAGTTCTGTTAAGGATTATATTAGTTTGATGGGTGAGAAAAGTCATAGCCCACATTGGATTCCTCCAGGCCGGTGTTCAATGTACCCGTGGGAGATATATATAAGCGTATATAACGCTAAGGGCCATACCTACCCCTTTGGAAGCAACAAATCCTCCTACCGGTTGCTCAGAGAGCTTTCTCCCAGACCACCCAACACCAAGGAAATTCGCAACTCATTTTCTGTTTGGCCTGGAGAAAATCAATGAAATGACACTTTCCTGTTTGTAGATGTTCCCCTAGAACAACTCTCGGACTTCGACGGTAAATCTGTTTGTCCAGACAGAGGGTTCCACCCCCCAACCAAGCATTTGTCATGACCAGCGAAATCCAGCAAATTTTGGCTCAGCTGCTGTGACATCCCAAGTGTTTAACCTGCGCTCCGCCGGCGGAAATTTTTGAACGGCCGCTTGGGCTGAACATGGACCTGCCAAACGTTCGGGCGCCGGGCTCGGCAGGTGCCGAGCCCTTTGTGTCCCCACAGTCCAACATGATGGTTTTAGAAATGTGACAAACTGTGACATACATTGTGAAACATGTGGAAAACATGTGATTGGGGGTTTGGTAAGCTTCCTTATGCTTCCTTCTGGTGGTTCTGGAGCTCTGACTTTTTCTGGCCTTTGGCCGAGGCCTTGTAAGATCTTGTAAGGTCGGAGGTTGAATATCATTTGTGCGGATGGACGGACGGATGAATGGAATGGATGGTCCGTGCGTTTCATTTGTCTCGGGAGTCATACGAATGCTAAGATGCCTCAAGCACATTGCTATATATGTTTTGTGGTTTCGAGGGCCCTCACACCCCTTTGTTGGGCATGCGTTTTTTTTGGGTTCCAAACTCGTTTGGAGGCTTGGCATTGGCTCGTGCGATCTCGAAGCCACCTGCGTTCCACCTGCGGTGAGAGCTTTCTTTGGCTGTTTTCTTTCAACATCTCCTGATTGCTCAGCTGATTGCTTAGCTGTTCTAGGCAACCCACAGCCTGGCACAGTTGTATCCATGATTTTTCGAGTGTAACAACTTCGACGTCGCAAGCGAAGGGTTCGAGGTCCACGTCATGGTTTCTGGCTCGCCAAGGCCGAGCTCAGCCCGTTCGCCAGCTCCCTTCCCTGGTCCAAACCAAGGCCCTGCGCCTCTCCACCCCCATAGTCCGAGACGTTTGCGTCCGGCCGCAGTGAAGCCGCCGTGCCCGCAGTCGCCTCGCCTTCAGCAGCCTCCGCTGAGGAGAACATGGTGAGCTTTCATTTGCGCAGCGAGTGCGCAGCTCATCTTACCCGTGTGGCGGATGTGCCATCCCTTCAGTGTCCTGGCGGTCTTGGGATGTCTTGGGAGAGTCATTGTTTCCAACCAGGTTGCTACCGCCCAGCTATACCGGCCCGAACAACGAATTACAAGGAAGAAGCTGAAGGGCGTGCAATCTCCTTTGAAGGAGGACAGCTGCCTGCATGCAGTTGAAACATATTCATACTGTTGATTGATGTTTGTGCTGTAGTAAAGGCTGTCAGAATCCCAATAACTATATATTAATTCGGTCTTTGGGGTGATCAACGCTGGTGTCTGTAGTTGTCCCCAAATGGAGATCCCCTCTATAGACAAGGATTTTTGATTAATTATACATATTAGATCGAAGTACTGCTGCAGGTGGTGTAAGTACACGACTCTTTCAAAGGAATGACTCCGACTTCATACATGTGACGCAAATCGAACACAATTACTCGCAAATCAAATCAAATCGATGCAATTTCAAGTTGATTTGGGGTCTTCAAGTTCTACATGTCTCGAACGGCTTTCCACACGATGACATATAACTATTGCAGTACCTGACATTCAGAATAAGAACCATCTTTCTCCCAGAACCACCGTTCTTATCTGGAAGTCTGTTTGACACTGTCACTGTTCGCAACCTCTCTCCGCTCGAATTCGGGATGCTGTACCTCCATAGCTGAGGATGTCTTTGAAGCTGACATTACCGGTGCCTCGTCCTTTACACCACATCAACGCAAAACTCGAACAGAACCACCGTTCGGGTCTCACCTCAAAGGCAAAACCAAATATGGTCCCCAAATAGACTGGCACGGTTTCCAATACTTGAATGGAATGAGAAAAAGTATTACTTTTCTATCTATTTGGGGGTCTATATAACCCTGACATTGCTGCGTGCGTGATTGGGACGCTTTGTACCTCTTACGGCGTAGTTCGTCAGCTTCCTGTTGCCGTCTAGACTCGTTTCAGGTCTTTGGCTCCAACTGCCTCAGAGAGCTTCAAAAAGAACTCAGGAGCTACCGTGAGCTACCTACTGTAACGAATTTGTGTGGTTTAGGGCCAGTTCATTGCGCTTCCCTTCTCCAAGTGAAGGTCCATGGCTGCGTCAAAAGAAGTCCATGGCTCCGCTCGATTCATCCGCTTGACTGGCTCCCCTCGGGACCCCTTCTGGGCTCCTTCCGGATGCATGAAACCAAACAAAAACAGTTCACAAAACAAAAAAAAACACACCAACAAAAACGAAAACCGGTTTTCGTTCCAAACAAGAAAAGCTCGGTTTTTCTCTTGCAAGTCCGTAGGGGTCACATGTAAACACCCGATCTTCTTTGGGTGACCGCTGGTCGATTGCAAAACGGAGGATTTCATAAGAGGTGAGTACTAAGCATGTTTGGATAACCTGATAGGTTCATTCGTTTGAACTTGGCCGTGTGTTTTCTCTTTGAGTGTACATCCAATTTGGCTCATCAGAACGATCACACAATATCAAAACGATGACCTTCTATAGTATTATACAAGCTCACTTGAAGTGAGCACCACACCTGCAGATTGAAGTATCGCTTCTCATCCTAGTCCGGGCCACGGCAGACGATACTTTCCTCTATGAATCCAAGTTAAACAGCTCATTCACACCGGAGATGTTCATTAGTGCTTCGCAGGACCTGCCAAAAATCACCTGGAGTTGGGTGCCGGTTCCGAACGGAGGAAGGAGGTGCCGTTCGGTGCCCCATGGTGCCCTCCAAAGACCTCTCGAGCCACAGCACCCAACTCCAGCCATAGACAGCCACTCCTGGCAGGCTCAGGTTCGACTCGGTCCGGCTGGAGTCGTTGTGACTCCGCGAGGTCCATGAGCTTCTCCAGGCTTTGACGGATGCGACCAAAGCTCAGCGACTCGACTGCGACGACCGTGGACTCCAGTGGACTGGACTCGATCCGCTGAAAGACCTCGCGGGGTCGGTGTTTCGGGGACCCGACGAGGCGAGCGAGCGAGGTGAACGAGGTGAACGAGGTGAACGGGGTCGTGTTAGGTGAACGAGTTCGAAAAAAGTGACGCCCTGGGAAACCGAGAGCCACATGGAACTTGAACACCACGCCCGGTTTGCAGAGGAAAATCGTCTTGCCGTCTGGTCCATGCCATCAGATTCCACATCATGTGGGTCTTTTCCCAGGGTGCCCTCCTCTTTTGAAACTGAGCAAGAGGCCCAAATATTTTTCAGAACACTCACAAAAGAGGCCCTTCAAGTGAGCATCCAACTTGGAAAGAAATAGGATGGGGATGTCCTCCCCCAATCCCAAGTCTAACTACATAAAACAAGCACCTTTGCATGGTCTCTTAGACCTCTCAACTAAGAGGCCGGTCACCAAGGGTGAATACAAGGTGTTCTCCCAGAGAAACGCCCGCCACGGCGGCGCAAGAACATGCCGGGTCACGCCGATCACCTGGATCAATTACTAAAGCAAACAAACAAAGTAGTAACCATGTTCGCTACTAGGGGCTCCTGGCCTTACCACTAGGATCGAGCTAAGGATGCTACTAGGGGCTCCTGGCCTTACTACTAGGAGCTAAGGACGCTACTAAGGGCTCCTGGCCTTACTACTAGGAGCTAAGGACGCTACTAGGGGCTCCTGGCCTTACTACTAGGAGCTAAGGATGCTACTAGGGGCTCCTGGCCTTACTACTAGGAGCTAAGGACGCTACTACCGGCTCCTGGCCGTACTACTAGGAGCTAAGGATGCTACTAGGGGCTCCTGGCCTTACTACTAGGAGCTAAGGATGCTACTAGGGGCTCATGGGTTTATTACTAGGAGCTAAGGACGCTACTAGGGGCTCCTGGCCTTACTACTAGGAGCTAAGGACGCTACT